ACACACACATACACACACACACACATACACACACATACATACATATATATACAGACAGACATATCCAATAATGTACCTGGTAGGAAGGGATCGAATCCAAGTGACGACTTTTCTCTATTGGCGTACGCTGAAATGATCCTATTATTTGATTAGTACTTATTGCTGCATAAGCAATATTACTCACTATTACTACTGTCATTGTTCCCTTATCGATGTTATTACGATAAATACGATTACTTATTCATTACTTATTCACTTATTGTACTTATCATTATTATCATTAAATTCATTCCAATCATTATAATTATCACTACTGATTATAATTATTTCGTTTCAGATACTATTTCTTTCGATTTGTCATTTTGTCAGTAATTTCTTCACCTACTTTTGAAACATTACTTTTCCATTCGTCTGAAAAAATCCCAAAAAAAGAAAATTTTATCCGACTTCATGGATGAAATTTTCATTCTTCCAGATTAATATATCATGCAAATATTTTTTTTGCTTTGCCTTCATGAAGATGGATTCTAGATTTATAACAAATTTCAGGATGATTTAAAATTTAGAATATATCTTTTAAACGCTACAACAAAATAAAAATAAAATCTGGAAAAGATTTTAACAAGTTAATGCCTGCTTGATTATTCGATGATAATATAAATTTCAATATGAAAGGTTGAGTTAAATGAATGGTTTGTATGATTATTATTAACTTGTTCTGTAAAAATTGATAGGCTTGCCTGCGCCCAGTAAGGTTTCGAGACAGCTTCAAGCCTAACTTGCAAAAGTTCAGAAGGGATTCGTCGATTGAATGGAGTGTCTCGTTGAATTATTCGTTGATATGGTAGTGGGAAGAGACCAAAAGACGTGGTAACTGAACGTGGTGGTGGTGGCGGTGGAGGTAAACGATTGGTTGTTATCCCAGTAGAAGAACTCTGGATACCGGTATTTGTTGACTTATTCAAGAGGAGAGGTAGTCGAATACCAATAGATGATTCTTCACCCGATGGACTGTCAGGACCCCAATACGGTTGTTTCTCATGCTTTTGTTGTTCTAGCTGTTTCTGCGGTGCATATGGTGCGCGGTTCGTTTTATCACTTCGACTAACGCTTATTCGATTTCCCGATCGATTCGGCGAAAACATGCAACCGTTGCTTTTTTTTTGAATACATACGGCAGCAAAAATGGCTGAAACGTCACAGTGCTACCAGCTGAAAGTTTCGAGCGACTGTTTGTAGGGTAGCAGTATTACAATGATTTCAAATAGTAAATAGCACCATGAAAGAAGTGATGTGAAAAATCAAGGTGCTACTTTGAGTATAGTACTTCTCCAACACAGTGCTTTTAACTGCTTTAAAACTGAATGATTTTTCTTCACTAAACAGAAAAACGTGATTGATAACAGGGAAATTCCGATAAAACTCAAATGTTATAGTCACTCTCAAGTGATGATACTGTGATAGTTATTTAAGATGATATAATATTTTTCCAACAGATTTGCCTGTTAATTTATAGTGAGCATTTTAAACTGATGCTTCTTTTGATTCTATCAGCAGTACTAAATATGCTTTTCGATCCAGAAAGCAACAGTTCCGGTTAATTTTTTTAAGCACCGAAACTCCGTTTTCATTATTGTATTTAAGCAGGATTAATGCACCGAAATTGAAAATCCCAGCAGCAATCATTCCTTTAGAAGAATATTTAAAATAATGTTTCCAATGGCAACAGAAAGTATTGGTTTCTCCTCAATAAGCAACTCTCGAAAACTCAAAGCTCAACACTACTACTCATTTGTAGGACACAACTTCATTAATGCCTTAAAAGAAAATTTCTTTGCCACTAATATATCGGTAGATTATAGGCTTGAATTACTAGCCTCTAATTCATAAAATAAGCCAGGTATCTCTAGTATCTTATGGGCCCTTGAATATTACTTAAGAGATTGTTCTCACATAGCGTATACAATTATGTAAAAAGAGAAAAAAGAAGAAAAGAATTCAAATGATGAGAAGAATTTGCTAAAAACTGTAAAGAAATGTTATCTATTGGAATTTGAATTTGATGCACACTGCTAGTAAAACTCTTTTTTTTTCAAAAATTTTCTATTCAAAAGAACAAATAAGTCGTAATAAATACGCTAATTGGGGAGAGATAAGATGCAAGAAGGCGATCAGACCAAAGAAGCTTTAAGATCAAAATAAAGTATTTCTGATTCTGTATTTGGCATCTAAGATCCGTATCAACCGCTTTGTACCGAAAAAGATTTTAGCAAGCTTGAATGAGAAAATATTTTTTGGGCGCAAACATTTTTCTGGTGGCTTGTTGTAAGAACCTGAAGTAGTGACTGGTGTCAAGGATGATTAGGCCTTTGCTAGGTCCCGATAACAGCAAGACATTTCATTTAAAATTGCTGCTACCTAAGCTTTAGGTCAGGAAAGCTGAAGTGGCAGGAATTAAATAAAATTTATTTAGAATGAATTAAAATGAATTCAATTGAATTAGGCTGAATTTAGATGTTAAATAAAGTACACGGTTTAAAGCAAGTGTATGCAAATTGAATAGATTTAAATTCCACACTCATGCTTCTTGGCTCAGAAAAGGTGAAGCACGTGGTGCGAAAGATTTATAAACCAAGTAGTAAAGGCATACAAACCAGAAGGAGAAGAAAGTTTTTTCAATTAAGTGGGAATGAATAAAAAAGTGATCTTTTGTATGTTTTTATATAAAGAATGTTTTTAGATTGGATAAGGGAAGCAAAAGTGTCAAAGATGAGATTTTTTCAATTTTTCTTTTTATCATTACACCCCATCCTACCATTCCATGATTTTGACGAAACATATTTTCAAGGCTCCTTTTTCTATGCCTCATTTGTCAATCCATTAAGCAGGAAATGGTCGATTCATTTCATAGTAATATGCTGCTTTCGTTGTCAAATTCTGATTTTTCCTTCTTCTTTCCTTGTTTTTTAATAATAGCGCACAAACTCTGAGAAGGTCTTGCTTTTGGTTTATTCGACGAAAGCATGAAGACATTTTAGGTAGAAAGTTTTCTGAATTATAATACTAATAATTCGCAGTGGGATGGTCTAGACTAATTTTCTGTATGATATAAATGATATGAATGATAATTTCTCTTTTCATAAATGAAATTCTAAGTTTCAGCAATCGACTAACAAAATTCAAGAAATTAGCCTAACCTCGTCAGACACTTGCTGTATGTTATAAATTATGTCTCGATCGAAGATTGTTATCAAATTCACATTTTAAAATCATTATGAAATGCCAGTTAATGACCGCCCGTTTAACTTATCCCCTTTTAAAAAAATATAAACAATGAATTCTGGTTCTTAATTGAAATTTTTAATTTCATATTTCCAGATAGGCAAGTTTTCATAAACAATTGTGTGAAAGTAAAAACTGAACATGAGCATAAAGGGAAGATTAACCGGTGGATACTGATCAATGGCAAATAGTTCAAATAACCATTTCAATGAACTATAGAATCAAACAATTAAATTGCTGCAAAAAAATAATAAGAAATAAATTTAAATAAATAGAACAAAAAAGTACAGAAAATATCTTGAAATAAGTATTAGCTTGTGTTACTTATTTATGAGTTGTTGTGACACAGCAAACCTGCTCGATTCATTTAAACTCGTCATCCTACTGCTAAAACTACTTGATTTCTTCCTGTCAAACAACAACCACGATTGACACCTGTCGCATAATTTTTTTCCAGAAAGATTTTAAAAGAGGTCAAAAGTTTCCATACTCACATATATATATTATTTGCTATTTAAGACGACTATGAAAACAGAAAATTTTCATCTAAAATGATTATTTCAACACAATCAAAAACTATTCACATATAAGGAGCAAAGATCCAAATATTACAGAATGAAATTTTGTCACTTATTTAATGTGAGGAAAAGATAGTTGTTTTTTTCTTCAGACGAGGATTTAAAATTTGGCTAAATTCATGAAGCAGTCTATACCAATAAATGTTTGACATGAAAAACTGGATATCTATAAGAGATTGATTGCTCTGCCATCTCTCTTCCTTGTTCAGCACTTTTTCAAAGACTGCTATTACACTCCAATGAAAGAATGTTGTTTTGGAAGCTTATCGCAATCTCCAGGAAGTATCCGATGCTTTTCAAAAGATCAAACAACATTTATTTGAGTTTCTCTCTTCCTAACGGCAAAACGAAATAATATGCTCATCAAGAAAAAGAAAGTATTTCGTTTCTCCAAGACAGAAATCAATCAATAAAGTATCATTAGACAATATGCTCTCCGAATCCTGCTGCGTAACAATGTCATTTATGAGATGTCACATATATTCCAATCTAATATCTTCCTTCCCTTAAATTAAACAAGAAAAATGTAGGCAAACATAGATGCAGAGAAATAGAAAAATAAGTGGAGAAAGAAGGGGAGAAGAGATAAGAACTCGTAGAAAAGAAAAAAAGAAATGAAGTGAAGGGAGAGAAGGGATGAAAAGCCTGAAAGACCTGGATTTGAAACATTCGGTTAGGCATGTACCGTCGCTTGTTAAGGCCTTGATGATGGCCTCAATAATGTCCTGAACTACTAAACAGACAGTTTCGTTCCCTATCTTGGACATATAATTTGTTGAAATCCATATTTGTCTGGCTGTCTATCCATCAGGTGAGTAGGCTTATCTACGAGAAACGGCTAACCCATCCTTCAGGAAAGCCTCAGCTTTTCGAAGGGTGTGGGAGTGAAAAGTAGAAGGAATAAAATAGTGGTGGGCATCATAGAAACCGAATCATGCTAACCAATAAAGATAGGAATTGGATGGGAACGACAACGAAATACGTATGGATGTCATTGGAAGACTGACTCTCCAAGGATAACGGGAAGAGGAACAATCATCGGCTAAATCGATCCTTCTCATTTTATCGTTTCGTTTGGTAAAAAATAATTTCCTTTCGAAAATTGGAAACCTTCAAATTCCAATTGCAATTCTTATTTAGAATTAATCCACTTTTTCAGCCAAAGATAAACTTCAGCTTCCAACATTTTAAAATTTCCTGAAAAGGACATCTCAAAAGTCTTCGGGTGCCTGTTAGAAGTACTAAATTCTCATCATTTATGTTCTCTGTCTCAAGCACATTAACCGTGTAATGTTGCGATTGAATCATTTCAGGTTATTAATAAATAAGCCAGGAGAAAAATGGAATAAGAAAATCCGATAAATGGATTATCATGATTTTTGACATTCTCAAATATCTATATTTAATGATTTTCAATCTTTCTCACTTATTCACAAATTAAACACAAACATAACTTAATTATTTGAAGTCATGATACTATGGTTACGGCTATAAGTAACAGATTTATCGTCAAATTTGAACTAAATACTTGAAAAGCTAATTGTCAATTTAGTTCTACCAATAAAATTTTGAACTGGGGGGAGATAGAAAGGAGTGATAAGAACGAAATTAATTTAATATAGCAAATATATGATAATGTCTTGATTGAAGTATTAATACATTAAATAAAATTGTCGATAGATAAACTAGTGATAAGATCGATCAGACAAGCGGGAAACACCGAAATATATAACTTTTTCATAATCAGTTTGTCACTTTTCAGTTTAAGAAAGGTTAAGGAAAAGTAATCAATGATGAAGCGAAGTGCTGGAAATTCAATCTGGGATCATTTTCATTTCACTTGCATGCAAATGAAGTAAATCTTTTAATTACATCTACATACGAAAGCATTTAAACGGTTCAAAATGAATCTAAAAAATTCTCTTGACACTTGAACTTATAAATTTTTTTCTGTTTTCTACATCTGGTCTCTAAGTTATGTTTTAATGAGATGACTCCAATAGCAGCCAAAGTAATATTGCTTTTATAAGAATGTCACTGATATCAGATTTATGTAAGACTGCTAAATAGGACGATATATTTACTGAGGGAAACTTATTTGCAACTGATTTTTAAGATAATCGATAGCTTGACGAAATATTATAAAAGACGATTAATTCGTATTCGATTTTCATTTAAGAGAAATTCTGTAGCTTCATTACCAAAGTAATCCTTACTGTAATCATTATACGCTTTTCTTTGCAAACGAATATTTAAATTAATAATTCACTTTCCTCTACTTTTAT